CCAGGCATAATAAATAGAAGTTGTGTAAACTCTTGGAAGTTCCTTGAAGTCAATAAGCACACAGTTGTCCTTGTAATCTTCTGCCCATCAGAAAACAGAGACGGGCTGTTAGAGGCGGTGCTTGGGCTTTGGGTGCTAACAGAAGCAATAATTACTGCAGGATTACTTTAGAGGGTGATTACACTACATATCAGGTCACCATCATTCCAACCCTGCACACATCCTTCACACCCTTTTCTTTATAGCTCTCCAAGTTCTACTTGGCTTGTGTAATTGCCTCTGTCTCAAGCCTATGGCTTTAAACGGATTGAGTTTGTTTATCCCCAGCTAAACTCAGAACCCCGGATAATCTGTGCAAGAAAAAAAGAAGAAGATAATATCTCCCGTCTGCTCAACGCTTCGCTTATCCAAACAAGCTCCGTTTGTCTCCCTGAGCAATAACACGTTGCTGGCCTAGATAAATATGACCCACGTCCCACAGTAACACAAGGAGGGCTGGGAAAAACACACACGCAGTCCCACTCTTATACCCGTATGCCCATTCAGCGCATGTATAAGCACAAAGGCACACATTTCAGAGCAGACAATGAGCGCCGGGTGAGTGCGATACAGAGTCTCCCTCACAGATGCACACTGGCAGCACATGTTCTCCAAGGTCTGACACATTAAGGCAGAAGTCTTTTAATGGTAGTAATGGGGACAAAGAGAAGATTATTGCTTAAGCAAAAAAACTATGAGCAGCAGCTCTCAGTTTTAGTGAAGCAGCAGGCGGGCACATTCCAGGACAGCTGCCAGAGACAACGGAGCACCGGAGAGCAAGGAGAGAGAACAGCCGTACAGGGAAACACAACTGTGTTCATTTGGCTTCTCTTTCTATGCGCAATAACAATCATGACTTTGCAGAACTAGCAGCATAATTAACTTGAGGAAAATAAAGTTGTGCATAACTCATTTCAAGTATTATTATGTAAACCTCAATGATAAAGAGAAGCCTGGCTTGATGGATTTAGGTCATTTAGATAAAAAGCCAGACTCACTGTCATGCTGCATCTTCTCTTATCGACCCACTATTATAAAATGGGACACAAAGGACAGCATATTTAATGAATGAAGTCATCTTAATAACTTGTTTCTGTTACCAAGTGAATCCAAAGTAAAGTTTGCATTTGGATAATCAAGTGAACTATGCTAGGTATCTGTTTTTCAACCCCCACATTAACTTTTCAGAATTTTTCCAAACCAAGCAGTCTTGACAAGGTTTTGACAAGAGCTTATCTCATTGGTCCTTAATCATTTCCCACATTTTTGGGAAAAGTGGAAATCACAACTGTCAATTAAAGAACAAAGAGAATCTGATGGATTCTACCAATATGTATCAAACAGATTGCAAAGGCAGATTGTCAACTTTAATTCAGTTCAAGCTCAGCCCACACTGTTCCAGTTTCTGCTCTCTGCCTACTCCCTGGTATCAGCTTCACTCCAGACTCTGCTGGGACTCTGAGGTTGAGACAGGGAGGTGCAAGGAGCAGAAATCACACAGAAGTTTGAACTGTTTAAACCAAAAAGCTAGTTAGCTGAACTGCATGACTGCCCAGCTGAATTAGATGTCACCGAATGTCCTTCATCTGAATTCAGACAAAACCAAGGTCCTATTGGGAGCGACCAAACAATGTGGGGTGTTTCTGGAATCTTTGTTTTCCTACAAGCTGGTTTGTGAGCTAGAAAGAAAAATCCACATTTATAAAGTTTACTTTTTCTGCCTTAAGAGGTTTTCACAACACTTTCATCCTCAAGAACTCAATTTTTCAGACCAGCACACAGCTAGTTTCAACAGTTGGTGTTTTTCTCTTTCGTGTTCAATGTTTTTAATGGATGACTTTTTTGGGGGTGTGTGTTGTTGTTTATCCTCTGGCTGCTGTTTGTCATTTATCATTTGCAAAGAATGTTCATTAAAAATGTTCTTGTTTGAGAAGTTGGATAACAAACCTAGAGGCAACTCTGCTGCAGGAGGCAAAGACAGGCATGTGAGACTTCACACTATATAGAATTACCAGAGCAAAAGCAGCCCAGTAAATGAACCAATGAACCAGTAAACAAATATATTAAGTATCAGTTCAATCTCTCCCTCTCTTTTAGTCTCTGCGGGGCAGAACAAATGACTGTGAATTAACAATTCACCTGAAGAATGTTGGAAAAAACAGATATTTCAGCAAAGCCTGGACATTTTTATGCATTTCTTTAAAAATATGCTTTAAAAGAAAACTAATGTCACAACATGGATTTATTTAAAAGTACATTTAAAGTTTGTCTATAAAAAATATAGAAATACAAATGGAATAATGTTCAGAATCACCTGTGTTTGGGACCCACCACAGTGTGCAGTGTGCAACCAAGAACCCAGGTTGCATGTGGGGGATGAACTGATAAGTGAAATTTTTATGTCTAGGTTTAATTATTTGTATTTTTTTAGCACCTTGAAGTGCATCTGCAGTATAAGAAATAAAGGTGTTTTTTTTTCTTCTCTTGAATCCTTTTGTCAGAGGTTCTAACTTGTGGGGCCAGCCCCACTGATGGGGTGCAGAAACACCGCAGGTGAGGCTTGGACAAACAGGTGGAAAATATAAAGTAAAGGTAAGGTGAAGGATTTTTTTTCTTAGAAAATAAACAGGCAAGGATTTCCTGACCGTTATTCAAGTAAAGTTCAATTTCAAACCGTCTTTTGTTGTTGTTTGATGTGAACTTTTTTGGGTGTTGATGTGAGGCAAGCTGGAAAAAGTGAGTGTCTTTAAATGAAGAACGGCAAATACGGCTCGTTTCAGACAAAGAGTGAACTAAGGGGCTGCACCAAGATGCTAACCCCAACTCGTCGCGGCAGATGGCCCCGCCCCTCCCTGAGCCTGGTTCTGCCAAAGGTTTCTTCCCACTGTCGCCAAAGTGCTTGCTCATAGGGGGTCATATGATTGCTTTACAATATAAAGCGCCTTGAGGCGACTGTTGTTGTGATTTGACACTGTATAAATAAAATTGTATTTAATTTAATTATATCCCAATTCATAAGAATTATTTTGGATTGTGATTCATGCAAAGCTACTGAGATAGCAGACAGCGTTAAGATTATTATAACAATCCTAAACACTGTATTTAGCTGAAGCATTATGTAGCCCTTAGTGATGTTTAGGAAGTTTAAAGACTGCCTCGCATACATCCATCTTTATTAGCACATTTGGTCGCCTGTGTCGCTGATTTGCTTATTCATTGCAATGACAAATGTTAATGTACAAAAAAGCTGTCAGTAAATACTAGAAATTCAATCACAGAAACAAAATTTCCCAAAAAAATGCATTTGAATGTGAAACTTAAATACATTTTTAAAAAGAGCACAACCAACAGACCTCTGTTTTCCAAGTTCAACAGAATGAGAAGCTGGGATTCCACCAGAGAAGCTGTTAGACCCACCTCTGTAGGGGGGTTAACAACCGATAGCCCACCATAAGGCATACTGTGTGTGTCAAAACCAGAACAACATAGGTCAAGCTTTTGCTGACTCAGTTTTCATATACACCGCTGCCAGAGCAGAGAAAGCGGTGACTGATTCAGCGTACCATAATTGGTAGTGGATGAATATCAGCGGAACAAGTTAAGGCAAACTGTGTTAAGTCATAGCACTTGCCTGAAACTTACTGTTTTAATTTTACTTGTGAAGGTCTTTAGTTCTACTAACTTTCGAGGCTCTTTCAGCCTGTTAGGCTGCATAAATAACAGTTAAAGGCTGTAGTAATCTAATTACATACATGAGCTAGTTTGTCAGCTTGTGCCTAAAAAACAGAAAACTCTCTGGTGATTAGGCCTGATGGGCAGATGGAGGCGGTGGTGGTGGAGTGGTCAGGAGTCACAATATTCTAATGGTTTGATTTTGTAGTGTGAAACCAGCAGCAGGAATAAGCATCGCACCACCCACATACTTGTTTTCATTTCAGTCACCGTCTGATAGCAGCTCAAAAAAAAAGCCACTTTTAAAAACATTGCTCTCCTTGTGGTCAAACTCTCCTCGGGGTGTCTTTAATTAGCGTGTTTTGAAGTAAATAAGACAAATGCTGAAGAAAAGAGAGAGAAGTCGTTCCGCACAGTGTTACGGATTTAAGATAACTGCTTCAAACGTGGGAAAGTTCATATATGATTGGCTGTGCAGATTCCAACTTTCACTCTTTCTACTGGGATCATCGGGTTTCCACTAAGCTGTTTAACCAAAGCCATGGAGGTCCAGCAAACACAGATGTTCCTAGCATGATTGAAATGGAAGCTTGTGGTTTAGGACAAAGAGATTGATAAATAACTGACACTCACTGGCTAAAACAAGTGGTTAAACCTTCTCAGTCCTCTCTTTAAACCCATGGTTACATGAAAGCGGCCTCTCGCTCATGTTTGGTAAGAGTCTGGTTAGGATCAGCATGTTGAAACACAGCTACAGATGTGTGTTCCTGTTTACACTGAGCAGGAGGTAATTGAGGAAGTCTGGCCCTCTCTTCAGGAGCTCTCTGCCGCTCAGTGGGAGTTGTGTTACTACTGAACCAAACATTTCACATCTCGCTCTCTTAACTCTCCCTATTTATCTCTTTTCTCTCCTTCCCTATATGCCTCTTTCTCTCCTCCTCTGCCTTCCCCTTCTTCCCCTGAAAGAAATATCTGCTATTTAGCAGGGAATGATGCCATGTCTGCCTCACCCTGTAAGAGCTGCACCAAAGCGGTAGCAAGAATCTCTTTCTTTTTCCACCACAACAGCTTTCTAGCTTCATCCAGGGAAGCTGTGTTGCATCTGTCAGCAATACCTCCTTTAACCTCCGTACCAGAAGACAGCAGGGAGCAGCTAAGTCGACTCCCATGTGCATTAAAGCATACAAATGAGTTCATCTTTTGGGAACTTTCCCAAGGAGCAAAGAGCACATTCGGTATGCAGCGATCCCACCTCCTTCCTCCTTCTCTCCACACCTGCTTAGCCTTACCTGGAACTGGCCGGTGTAGTCGTCATCTGTGGTGCCCTCTCTGCCCTCTTTAAGTGCGATGAGAGTGAAACCTCTGAAATAAGCAGGGCTGGTTGCCAGGAGGACCACTGTAAAAGATGTGTGCATTGAAACTCAACAATAACACAAAAGAGGCATTTACATTGTTACATCAGGGTCTTGCTGTTACAGAGGGTCACCCAGGGAAACATGTAAAAGCAGCACTCCTTTGAGTATTGGACTGATGTGGAAGAGTGAGGGATATAAATACTAGTTTAGCATCTCACAGCAGAATAAAAAAAGACTATAAAACTATAAATCTTTTTGGAGTTTTGTGTGGGGAACAGGCCAGGAACAGGAGCCAGATAATGAGATGTGGGTGAAATTTTATTTGGCTCAGCCTTACCTTGACTTTCATACTATTTGTCTTAAATTTGCTCCTGGCGCTGAGGAGAAGTGTCAATATTATCAGCTTTATCTGTTTGGTTTTTTTAGTCAACTTATTTCCTACTTAAGCACCATGAAGGCTGGGGGATATTTCTTCTTTGGTGGTGTCCTTCATAGGACCCTGATAGCTGATTAAAATTTAGACATGGATTGCTGAAATGTGGTGTCACAGCCTAAAACATTGCATGATCAGGGGTATGATCACAGCAGGGAGATTTTAAAACAAGGTGACCTTTTTTTCCTTTTCTTTTTTTACAATCCGTGTTTTAAATGCCTGCAGCAAAACTGCAGCACATCAGGTCACATCCAACACTCTTCCACTGGACTCATTTCAATTTTTAGAAAAAAAAAGAAGCTTTGGACTTAAAACATGCCAGTGAATTGTGATTACAATTGATTAGTGATTCTTCTAAACTCATCAACAATCTCTGTGCCACATGCCAAAGAGGCCTTTTTTGAAACGTGCTCATATTCATCTGATAGGTGGAGTTTAAATTTGTAGGGGTCAGCTTAATTGGAGCCAGATCTGTGTGAGTCTTCCTGTGGATACTTGTATGTTAGTGTGTGTTTGCGTCCATTTCCTGGCAACGAGAGAAGAGGAAGTGAATATAGGTCAGACATTATAACTCTAAGTATCCTTATCAAACCAGTACTCTCCCAGAAGGGGCCAGAGGAAGCAGACTGGGTTTGGAAAATTGCGTCCTTCAGGCTACAATTTTCTAATAAAATGTGATTGCTGTGGTCATTACCTTGATGCCAGTGAGAACATGTGATTACACATAGTTGTGGTTTTTGAAGTAAAACACAGCAGAAATTGCGAAGTACACGTGCCTCTGTTTCAACTTGACAAACAATCCACTTGCTAAATTTTCTGAGGTTTGCGCGCTAATTGCGCAAAGTGTCAAAACAAGCCAACTCTACCTCTGTAAGTGCTGCCAGGCCGGTAGGTATCCGGGTCTCCCTCCACTCTGAGCCTGAACTCATGGTGCCCATCCCTCCGGGTCCCGTGGGTCTGCGCCCGGAGGATCCGCCCGCAGTACCCGTCCGACCTCCCTCCGAAGGGCTCCTCCACGAACGCGATGGCGTTGCACACAAAACTCGAGACGAAATAGTACTGCAAAAGCAGCAGATGCAGATACATCCCCATCTCGGAACTGCAGCCCGGAGATGGAGCGTACGCTGGCAGTTCAATCAAAACAATACACAACCCAGCAGGGGAAAGGCGAAACAGCGGACAGAAGAACAGTTCCTGCCCCCTCCCCCGGGAACTCCCACTGAACTACGGCAGCGTCACAGTCAGTGGTAAAGGTGAAGAGAAGGAGACGAGTCCATCCTGAAGTGAGGAGAGCGCGCGTCTGGGGCGCACCACGGTAAAGCGGTCCTGAGAGGGGAGAGTGAATGAAGAGCTGCTGCCGCTGCTGCTGTTCCTAAATCAGTCAGTGGTGCTGATAGAGAGACTGAAAGCAGACTTGAAGGACTTGAGGGAAAGTCCAAACGGTAGCTTAATGAGGACCGTTTACCTCCCACCCTCCTTCCTCCGTTCGCCTGAAATACGCACAGTAACACTCAGTCTGTGTGGTTCTCGTGGGGGAAATTACAAATGTTTTGCCTGGTGGTCTAATGTAAAAACAGATTTTAAAGACTCTTAAAGACACCAGGAAGTCGTTACAACCGTAAAAGTCTAGTTACTTGCAAAGTGAAGCAGGAACAGACCTGTGAGTCTTTTTCCTGAAATGCTATGCGCATTTTATCCACATTGGCCCAATGTGAGCGATATCATTTGCTTCTTTCATGTACTTTGTGTATTTGTCCATTTGGCTGTAGTTTAATATGAATGACACATGTGACACATAAACACAACATTAAAGTCTCTGAAGCTTGACCGTCAGACAACAATGAACCGTAAAAATGCGTAAGTGATCATTTCAATTGCGTCATTCTCATCATAATTTATTTCACTGTTTTATTCCATCTTTCCCCCTCACACATCTAGTTCGTGTAAAGCACCAATTCATCTCCCTTTGCATCTACAAACACACTAACCACAACCGCTTTCTAATTATTTATGGAAGCCAGTCAGTTAAACCGGGAGGCAGCTTGTTCCGTCCAGCAGGTGACGCCAAAGTATCTTTGCGTCTTAAGCTACTTGGTAAACTTGTCACTCTTCTCATCACCGCACTTTTCTTCCATCTCGTCAAGTTTTATTATAGTATGGAGAAAAGTATGAGGGATTATGGAAATGCGGCGGGGTGTGGGTTTTAGGGCTCATATTAAATGTGTAGTTTGGACTCAGCTGAAGCAATAAGTTTAAGTTAGATGATATTTTGATCCATTTCCCTTTTTTTAATTTATCTTGTTCCTTTATGACATTTTACAGCCCTCATTTTATTCTGTCTGACATATAAAGCAACTCTGAGTAACTTTAATTTCTGCTTTTATTTAACCGATATCATCAATGACAGCTTTTTGGGAGAACACATGTACGCGTGGGTGTGTGTTTAAATAATAGATGACACACAGAATTGAGCTGGACAAAATAAACTTGTACTGAACTTGCATGCAATTATAATTGACATGTTGTATCTGCATGCCAAATATGTGTGCATGTGTTCATACCTAGGGAGTATTACCTAACTCAGAGTAGAGCTGGAAATAGTTAAATTAAACGGTATTGCCTGTGATAGAGCCCATCTGGAGGTACTCTGCTTTATAAGCTATCTGACGGATGTCTGACGTCTGTAGCAAAGCTTTGACCAAGATGTGGAGTCCGAACAACTCATCAGCCACTCAGAATGAAAACAGCCTGCTTGTATGCTAGCCAGAAACATTCCTGCAGTGAAACAAAGCTTTTCAGGAGAGAGTATTGGTGTAAAATGTCCTAGTCTGGTCCTCTGGAACATGTTTTTCTTAATACTGTAGAATAGCAAGAAGCAGTTTAATCTCATTAAGTATTTACATTAAATGTGGTTATGCAAGTTTTACCAGTGAAGGCAGAAGAATTCAGCAGAGTAGTAGTATGAAATGAGTTCCTTTGTCTCCTGACTATAAGTTAATACGAGAGTGTAAAATATCTCCTTTGTGTAAAAAGGAGCCTGTAGCCACTGCATCTGTCTTGTCTAGTCAATCTGCCTGCCTAAATAAGACTTGCATGAAGGTAATAAGGTTCTAATGCAGGAAGTATAGGCCAAAAGGGTGTATTAAATATGAAAATTGCACTGATCTTAGAGTGTGGAAGTCATTTCCTCTAATGGACCATAAAGATTCTAAAAAAGCTCTTGATATCATGCTCAAGTGTGTAATAGAATTTCTAATCATTTTACAAAGCCCTTTTTTTCTGCACATAGAAAGCATTTGCTTTATTTAATTCAATTCATTTCAATTGTATTTATATAGCACTAAATCCCAACAGTTGCCTCAAGGTGCTTTATAGTGTAAAGAAAAGGACCTACAATAATCCAAAAAAAACAGAGAAAACCCCCCCCCAAATCATTTGACCCCCTGTGACAAAGCGTATTGGCAACAGTGGGAAGGAAAAACTCCCTTTAAACAGGAAGAAACCTCAGGTAGAACAGGCTCAGAGAGGGTCAGCCGTCTGCCGCAATTGGTTGGGGTGAAGGGAAGAAGATAGGACAAAGACACGCTGTGGAAGAGAGCCAGATAAATAATGACCAACGATTAAATGCAGATCGGTATATAAACCCACATTTCTCCCACTGAAAACACTATGTCCAGATGAACAGAATCAACCTTTTGGGATAAACACATAGTGAGTGAACAAAAAAGGTGAATAAAAAAGATTCACTGATTGCATTATAGGACGCCTCTTGCAGCCTAGGCCCAATGCAGCGTAAGTAAGGGAAGAATCTCTAAATTTACAAATATCAATAAGGAAAGTTGTAAGCCTAATATTAAAAGTTGAGAAGGTGTCTCCTGAATCCAAACTGGGAGCTGGTCCCACAGAAAACGGGTCTGGAAGCTGAAGGCTCTGCCTCCCATGTAGGAACCACAAGTAAAACAACAGTCTGAGAGCAAAGTACTGGACTGGGGTGATACAGTACAATTTAGGATAAGATGGGGCCTTATTATTCAAGACTTTGTATGTGATGAGAAGAGTTTTAAAACTGCATTTGACAGGGAGTCAATGAAGAGGAACCTCTCTTTCTAGTCCCTGTCAGTACTCTTCCAGAAGGATTTTGAATCAACTGAAGGCTTTTCAGGGAGCTTTTAGGACATCCTGATAAAAAATGAATTACAGTAGTCCAGCTTAGAAGTAATAAATAGATGATGATTATCTAATTTTAGAGATGGTGCACAAATGGAAGAAAGCAGTCCTACATGTCTGATCAAAAACAACTCCAAGATTCCTCACAGTGCTGCTGGCGGCCAACCCAATGCCATCCAGAGTAAGAATGTTGTTAAATACCTAATTTCTAAGATTTTTTGGGCTGAGTACAATAACCTCAGTTTTATCTGAATTTAGAAGCAGGTCCATGTCTTTATGTCTTTCAGACATTCCTGTAGTTGAGCTAGTTGGTGTGTGTTATCTGGTTTCATGCATAGATAAAGTTGAGTGTCATCTGCATAGCAGTGAAAATGTATTCTTCTAATGATGCTGCCTAAGGAAAACATGTATAATGTAAACAGAATTGGTCCTAGCACTGAACCCTGTGGAACACCATAATTAACCTTATTGTGTGAAGAGGACTCTCCATTTACATGAACAAACTGGAATTTATTAGATAGATATGATTCAGCGCACTGAATACCTACAGTATGCTCTCGCTGTGATAAAATATGGTCAGCAGAATCAAACGCTGCACTGAGGTTTTAGCAGGACGAGGAAAGAGATGAGTCCACTGTCAGAAGCCACAAGAAGATAATTTATAACCTTCACTAGTGCCATTTATGTCTGTGAGATGGTTATGAGTAATTTTAAATTTTTTTTATTTGTGATGAAATTCATAAAGTCATTACTCGTTATGATTAAAGAAATTCTTGGCTCAACATAGCTCTGAGTTTTTGCAAGCCTCGTTACAGTGATGAAGAATAACCCAGGATTCTTATTTCCTTCAATCAGGGATGAATAACAAGAGGTTCTGGCTTCACAGAGGGTATTTTTGTAGAGCAACAAACTATGTTTCCAGTCTAAATGAAAATCTTCTAAATTTGTGAGATGCCATTTACTCTCCAGCTTATGAGTTATCTGCTTTAAGGTCCACATTTGAGAGTTATACCACATCAAGTACTTCTGATTCAAGGCTTTCTTTTTCAGCAGACCCACAGTATCCAGAGTCGTATAGAATGAAGATGTACAACTATTACCAAGATAATTGACCTCTGTATGAGTAGGACTCAGGGAGCTGCTCTGCACTGCACATGCAGGTGCAGAAAGGACAGGTGAAGAGGCTATGCTGCTAGCGAGTCAGCTACAGTGAATCCCTAAATACCGTGAATATAATTAGTAGGTGATTCAACACAGAGTGTGCTTTGGATAAAGCGTGTGAAGATTACACCGCGAAATAAGACAGTATCTGAAAGTTTTAATTAAATGGGCTCCAGAGCTAAGCTGCACAAGCACAGCACTAGATTACTGTCATGGATTGACAGCAATTATTTAATTTATTTAATTTATGTGTGTCTAATTGAAATGTGATGCTTTTGTTTGACAGATACTTAATATTGAATAACCTGGGAAGGATGGAGACTATGTATCTAAATGTAAAAAAGTTTAAAAACCTTCTTTAATATTTTATACTGGAAAACGTCTAAAACAAACCTCACTAAAATCCTAAAAAGCATTGTGACATTATTTAATGATTGCTGTCATTAAGCAACAATTTAGGGTTAAAAGCTTTGCTTTTAAATTAAACTCCGATGCAATTTGATCTTTTCAGATTATATGATGACTTGCCCCACTATAATGTAGGACACAGGCTTTCCACATTGAAACCGTGGATGGCTGGGATCCAGATAGGCATCAGAGACAAATGAGATCTATTTATCAAATTAAAATACTTCATGAAATCCAGTGTATCTAGTACTGAAAGCAAATTGAGAAAAGTTGAATTAAGTTAAAAAAAAAAACAACCCTCAAAGCTGAGGACTATGGGCTTCTCTTGTATAAAGTTAGTTGAAATGTCATTTGTAACCTCTTGGCCTCAAGGCCAAGCAGCAAAATCTGTTATCTCAGCTCTCTTGGAGAGGCATTCATCATAGTGTCATGATGTCTTTAATAAGGATAGAACACTGTAGAGTGCAGGCACACACACACACACACACACACACACACACACACACACACACACACACACACACACACACACACACACACACACACACAACACACACACACACCATCAGCACCACCAAAGCACTGACAAGTGATCACTGATCGTATCACTGCACAGATAAAAGAAGATCAAACAGGTACGATCAGACTCAATGAAACATAATTACGACAGACAGTGTGTTTGTGTGTTTTACCCAGTATGTATGAAACTATACATGTGTAGTGGAAA